TGATAGCATACTACACCATGTCTCTAAGTTACAACTGAAATAAGAGTCTTCAAAACAACTTCTGATCCAAACATTTTTCCTTGAAATGATGGAGAGAAGTGGTGGTTTTAACTTAAGATTTAATTGCCAAGGATAAAGGGTAAAAACCGCCTCATTCATCTTTCCATTCATCCACTCTCTATGCCCTCACCCTGCATTATTTTCCTCCATAGTACTTAGTACCATCACATGTCACAAATTCACTTATCATGTTGTGCCTTTTCCAGCAGAATGCCAGCTTTTAAGAGCCAGGGCTTTGTGTTGTCCACCCATGTGTTCTAGTGCCTAGAACAATATTTATTACAATATTTCATAAGCTTGCAGTACATTTTTGCTGAATAAAATAATCTCTGTAGTTATATCTATATAATAACATTTGATAAAAATGAGTTTATCCTTATTTTGAAGGTGTGGGTTTATAGAGAAAATTAAAATTCCACATATAATCTAGTGTAGCTTTGAAAATTTTACTTCAAAATAAGAGTAGAGAAATAAAAAGGTGTGTACTGGCTGCTAAATACACCCTAACCTTAATATAATGAAATGCCTCTGCTCTTGGAAACCAAAAACTATATGCTTTGAATACATCACTAATGTAAATAAATCTTTCTGCCCAAACTTAGGCATCTTTGCTATTAACAAAAAATAATTCATTTTCCAAGTAAAATTTAATGCTATATTCTGTACTATTGACACTATTCTTTTCAGAAAATAAAGCTAAGTTAAATATACCCTCCAGCATTTTATATTCAAAATTTCATGATGCTATTTACATTTTATGGATTTATTTATTTATTTAGAGACAGAGTTTCACTCTTGTCCAGGCTGGAGTGCAATGGCATGATCTCCACTCACTGCAACCTCCACCTCTCAAGCAATTCTCCTGCCTCAGCCTCCCTAGTGGCTAGGAATACAGGTGTACACCACCACGCCTGGCTAAAATTTTTTGTATTTTTTTTAGTAAAGGCAGGGTTTCAGCTTGTTGGCCAAGCTGGTCTCAAACTCCTGACCTCAGGTGAACCACCCATGTTGGCCTCCCAAAGTGCTGGGATTGTCAGTTGTGAGCCACTGCACTCGGCCTATAGATTTATTTATATGCAGTGTCCTTAAATATTTATGCAGCTTCCTACCAGAAATTTCCATTTCTCTAAATCCTGTTCATAGTCTCCACACACAAATCATTCATTATAGCTTAACCAACTCTACCAGGTAGAAATGATCTCTGTGCTTGCAGAACCTCCTGCATACTTTCAATGAGTGTAAATATAATTAGTATCAAATCATTTGGCACCTAAAGTGAAAACAACTGAAATAATTAGGAAACACTGTAAGTACATGTAAGAAGCAGGAACATAACTGCCCTGGAAACCAGCCAAGGGAATCCCCAGCACCTCCCATGTGCCTTAATCTCTCAGTGCTTCCACAGCTTCCTTAAAGTAAGACAAGTGACTGGCACGGTGGCTCATACCTGTAATCCCAGCATTTTGGGAGGCCAAGGCTGGCAGATCACAAGGTCAGCAGTTCAAGACCAGCCTGGCCAATATGGTGAAACCCCGTCTACTAAAAATACAAAAATTAGCCAGGTGTGGTGGCAGGCACCTGTAGTCCCAGCTACTCAGGAGGCTGAGACGGGAGAATCACCTGAGCCTGGACAGAGGTTGCAGGTTGCAGTAAGACGAGACTGCGCCACTGCACTCCAGTCTGGGTGACACAACAAGACTCCATCTCAAAAAAAAAAAAAAAAAAAAAAAAGATAAGTAACCATCTACGGGTTTATACATTTGATAATCAGAGGTCTTTAGAATTCTCTATGAGAAATATGGATTCAGCTGTATGCTTTGGACAGGATGGCAGCTCCAGCTCTGAGGCAAGAGCTGAGAATGTGCTGGCTTGACAAACTGATGCTCAAGCCATCCATAAAAGTAAGAGAAAACATAAGCTGGGCATGGTGGCTCACATCTGTAATCCCAGCACTTTGAGAGGCCGAGGCAGGAAGATCACAAGGTCAGGAGATCAAGACCATCCTGGGCAACATGGTAAAACCCTGACTCTAATAAAATACAAAAAATTAGCTGGCTGTGGTGGTGCGCACCTGTAGCCCCACCTACTCAGGGGACTGAGACAGGGGAATCACTTGAACCAAGGAGGTAAACGTTGCAGTGAGCCGAGATCACACCACTGCACTCCAGCCTCACGACAGAGCAAGACTGTCTCAAAAAGAGAAAATATAAAAAGTCAATTTTAACAAAGGTTTACTACAACTAAAAATAAGCACAAATTTTAATAAAATATTTCACAAAGCTACATATTACAAGTTTACAAGCTATTCAAAGGATGCCTTTATTGCATGCTGGGAAGATAATTCTGTCTCATATGAGCCCTAGTCAAACTAAGCTAACTAAGGCAGTAATTCTGATAATGCCCTGGCTCTAAGCAACCCTGGATACTTTCCTGTACAAAGTGACAATGCTGATTCATTCCCTCAAGAATAACACAGCCTCATCACACCTCACCCTCAAAAAAGCCTTAGCAATCCAAAGCTACTCTGGCAACTGTGAACTTCCCTGTATGCTTTGGTCACTCAGAAAAATCATCGTGATATCGCTAAATAACAAAGAACTTGCAAAAGCAGAATTAGTTATCCTTCCATCCCAAGTGGGTCACCAGCAAAATGACTTTCAACACATCCTAAGGAGATAAAATTGTCTCCTTCAAATTCCTCCACTATTCAGTGGCTCTCAAACTTTATAGAGTATCAGATTCATCTGTAGACCGAGCCCATGTTAGCTTAAATGGCAGATTCCACAGGGACCCTGATGCCCACCAGGGTCCTCCAGATGCCAGCCAAAGCCCAAGTGCCCTTTAAGGCAGGGGTCCCCAACCCACCCACCTACTATGGACCAGTATCGGTCACCAGTATTGGTCTGTGGCCTGTCAGGAACTGGGCTGCAGAGCAGGAGGTGAGCAGTGGGCAAGCCAGCATCAGTACTGCCTGAGCTCCATCTCCTGTCAGATCAGCAGGGACATTAGATTCTCCTAGGAGCGTGAACCCTACTGTGAACTGCTCATGCAAGGGATCTAGGTTGTGTGTTCCTTATGAGAATCTAATGCCTGGATGATCTGAGGTGGAACAATTTCATCCCAAAACCATTCTCTCCCTACTACCTCAGTTTGTAGAAAAATTGTCTTCCACAAAACCTGGTACTTGGTGCCAAAAACATTGGGGACCACTGCTTCAAGGGCTCAGAAGAATGAAGAATAGAGTGGGTCCTCATTATCCTTAAAAAAATATATAAGAGTACTTGGAAGACAGTGACTTTTCTGTCAGTTGTTTTAATTTGTTCTCTAACATCTTAATTCTATAATATATATATATATAATATATAATAATATAGGGAACATATAATATGGTATATAATAGAATGCAAAGAAAACATACCAGTCTGAATGTTCAGTGTTATTAATTAAAAAATAAATACATACCTTTCTTAAACACAAAAAATTCAAACAATTTATGTATTTACTAAAAAGTCATTAAAATTCAGAATATCTCAAGACATGCATAAGCATCAAAATAACAAATCAGTACCGGCTCATGTAAAGTGCCAGCAAAGCACAATATTGCATGACCTCCCTGCTCTTCTCAGAAAGGACGTGGTGAACCCTCCCCTGAAACAATGTAAATACAGGGAGCTGCATCCAATGTGTTTTAATATTTATATGTATGCTTTGATGAGTTCTAAAAGTACCCCATTATAGGTGCTTATAGGCAGGTAGAACATGAAATGTTATCTTGTCTAATCTGGATAAATAAGTCCGTATATTAAACTTCTAAAAAAACCTGACTAACCACACATCTTAGGAAATCACTGACTTTTCCAATCCTCTACATGGGTGAGTCACCAGTGTACATTTTGCTATAGGATAGTCTAGAGGCCATTACAACATATAAAAATAGGTAAATAATCCTAAAGGTCTGAATTAAATCTCTTAAAGCAAGGTTACATTACATTCTTTCTTTATATCTGGCTACAGCAAAGTACAGAAAATGAATGGTGAATTCATAAATAATATAGCTAGACTGCTATAAGGCACAAGACTAACATCCAGACTCAAGCAAAAATAAAACAGAAAAGAAAGGTAGATTCTTAACAAACAAAAAAATTTGCATATTATTTTTCATATATAAAAGTGATTTATAATGTTAATCTACCATATGGGAGGAAATTAAGTCACAGTTCATTTAAATCATTTACCAATTAACTTCAAGTACCAAATAGAATTTCTGTAAACCTAAATCTCTTTACTAAGGCATAGCTCAAGCATTACCTAAACATTCCCTACAGGGGCTTTCTGTGCAGTGATGTCAGAGCTGTTCCGTATTAAACAGTCTTAACCATTCCTTACATTTCCAAATTCAGTGATGACTTCTTATATGGTGAGATGTCAACAGTGAGAAAAAATGTAATGGTTGAAAAAATATTAAGAGAGAATTTCATGTTACCCTTATAAGGAGATTTTAAAAAGGAAAGAGCAGGAGTCGGGCATGGAGGAGGAAGGGAAGCCACGGCCCCTGAAGAGGATTAAATGATGACCTATGTAAAGCGAAGAACACTTAGCATTAATTCTTATAACTTCTCTTTTTTTATTTAAAACTTTAGGGCTAATATAACTTGTAAATTTTTCTGCACACTTTCACTTTTAATTACCCTTGTCTAGTAACACACCAACATATTACTTTTAAAAAGAACTGGAACACATTTTCCAAATATCACGTGCCTCAAGGGATATATTGATACTTTTCAGTTAGATTACATTAACATGCACTATCACTAAAATACACATATATACATCTCGAAAGAACATTATGGCTCTGGAAGCACCCTGAGTTTATAAAGACCCTTAGTCATTCTAAAATGCACAAAGGAAATATGTGTTCTGGAAAAATTAACTTTACTTACTTGTATTGATCAGAAATTGATTGGACACACCAGGATGATCTACATCATGTATTGCACTGGCAAAAATTGCTGCAAGAATCTCCAAATCTGTAAACACAGCCTGGAAAATCAGACAATATAGATAATATTACTATTCTACAATGATAAAAATTAAAAGTATGAGCAAATGAGAAATAACTCTAGAATTTAAATGGAAAACAAAATGAAGCTTCATGTGTTATCAAAATGTGTCAAGGGAGTGTGAGATACTTATGAACTTCTAAAGTATAAGCTTGGAAGAAAATATTTTATCTAATTTTATTACAGATCATGATCAAATCTTTTCCATTCACTGTATTTTTTAAAATATTATTTTAAAACTATCAAATTCTTTTTAAAGAAAATAAATTTATTTTCTAAGTAAGATGTCTAAGAATATTCTGAAAATGTACATAAAATTAATACGACATGAACAATTCTTTTCTTTTCTCTCACTGAAACCAGGATTTCTCAACTTCAGAACTACTGACATTTTGGGCCAGATAACTCTTTACATGGGAGGCTGTCCTGCGCATTGTAGGATGTTTAGCAGAACTCCTGTCCTCTACCAACAAAATGCCAGTATTATGTACAACTAAAAATGTGATAGTTGTAACAACCAAAAATGCCTCCAGACAATGCCGAATATCCCTGGTGGTGGGAGGAGAGAAAGAAAGGGGAAGAGAAACCATCTCCAGTTGAGAATCACTTACCTACATGATGAGGTATTAACATAATTTTATAATGAAAACTGAATTATATTTCTTAAAAATTATTTTAAGAAAATCAAATTGTGTTACTAAACAACTAATGAAACAACTTCTTAGGATTTAGAAAAATTAAAGAAGTGTTTCCTTCTAATAAATTCCATGAAAAAATCAATGTATTGCTTATGTCATAAAACAGTCATTCTTTGACCTATAAATAAAAGCCATCAGACTACATTTCCAGAAAACAAATTAACAAAAAAAATTTGCTTTATGAAACATCCAGTGGATCATTTCAAAGAAGCAATATCATAAACAGATCAATCACTGGCTGTGACCAACTTTCATAAGCAAAATCCTTCAAAGACTTGACTGTCTATTAACCCATAGCATTTTCTCCCTATAAGTCAATAAATTATACTTCCAGTGAATCCAATTATTTTCTCTACTGAAAACCCTTCAGTGTAAAAGCTTAGTAGACCTTTATGAGTGGCAAGTTAGTGTTCTTGAAATTTCAGAAAACAGATTTACCTCCAAAGCAGGTGTAGATAATAGCACATGAGTAGACTGGACAACATCTGCAGCATGGATATTGTTGTGATAGGCCACATCAGCATGGTAATGGTCTTCGAGAGTCATAAGATATGTAATTAAAGTATCTACTGGGATTTTAAATGTTTTTAATAAATCCCGTTCCTGCAGGAAAAAACAAAAACTCATGTTAACATTTTTGTCTTTAAGTAAAAAATTTTTCCATCGAGTACGTTAACAAAAATCATACACCAGTGTTGCCAGTGGATAGCCTGGAAACGACAACTCTACTCTCACATGTCTAGTGAGGGAAATGGGAACCTTTGGGAGGGTCCAGGGACTTTGGGACAAAACCAGGGTTGGGTTTTCCTTCTGGAACCCAACAATCCTACACCCTAGCTGTATGGTGTCAGGAAGAGGCACCGACTCTAAAAGTTTCTGTGCCCCATTATAGAGGCAGCTCCTGGCAAGCATAATTAACTCAACCACTGCATTTCACCAACTGAAACCTAGTGTCCTCTCTAGGTCTGAAGTTTCCCATTCCAGTCCCAAGGTATCTACAACAGCCTCAGCTTCTCATTTAAATCCCACCCTGAGCTGGAGCAAAGGGTCAATAAGAGTGAGAAATGATATGCAAAAGGAAGCAGGACACAAGAATATGACTGAAAAAAAACTATAAGGTTAGCCAGCGGGGGCTTTATTCATTTTTTTTTTAAGTTAGTACTCCATTCTCTATGCCAGTCAGATTCACAGAGATGATGTCTAAATTATTATTTTAATGACCTGCTTCAATAAGGCTGTATCACATCTTTTTCTTAAATGCAAAAAAAACACAATTGATGTATTTGTGGTTTATCCACACTCTACCTTTCTGTATCCTGTCCCTTGGCAAAGGAGCAAATAAGGATAAAAGTATAAAAATAAGCAAAATATGGGGAATATTTAAAAAGACAAAATGTGTGCACAAGCTACAGACTGGAGATTAAGTTCCTAAATAAAAGAAATGTAATAGAACTCAACCACCTTACCTGAAAAATGGTATGCATGATAACAGTCAAGGGCCGGTTACCAGACAACTCTGCTATTCTGAAAACGTGAAGACCCCATTTGTTCACATCTTCTAGTTCCTGGAGTAAAAAACAAGATACCAAAAAATTAGAAAGTAGAGTAAAATATGATTCAATGAACACAATCATTTAAAAATTACAGAGTTTAGGTGGCTGAGCGTGGTGGCTCTCACCTGTAATCCCAGCACTTTGGGAGGCCAAGGCAAGCAGATCACCTGAGGTCAGGAGTTCGAAACCAGCCTGGCTAACATGGTGAAACCCCGACTCAACTAAAAATACAAAACTTAGGCATGGTGGTGTGCACCTATAGTCCCAGCTACTTGGGAGGCTGAGGCAGGAGAATTGCTTGAACCTGGGAGGTGAAGGTTGAACCTGAGAGTGAGCCAAGATTGCACTACTGCACTCCAGCCTCAGTGACAGGGTGAGACTGTCTCAAAAAAAAATTAAAGACTTTAAAGATTGTTAGATTATTTTAAAAAACAACTATTCATTTTACATGTTAACAGACACACTATATAAGCATAGGCAAACTTTAGGCACGTTTACTTAAATGTACTGAAAACTGAATAGTATTGCTTAACCTTATGACTGACATTACAACATGTTTATTTACTTTAAGTATCAATCACAAAGCATTTCTTCAATGGATAAAACCTATTCACAAAACCCTAACTATTCTAAAACCCAGAAGACAGGACAGATTTCTAACTTGTTAAGGCCAAACAACAAAATGAAGATGCAAATAACTGACTCCCAATCCCCTAAAACATACACACCAAACCACCTGTCTAAGGCACTTTACAAGGAGCTTTATAAAATGTCTTTGTATCTTCAAAAAAAAAAAAACCCAAATTAATAAACTTTCCTATCCATTTAAAAGTGAAAATTTACGAAAGGGCATCATTTAATATTGATGATCGTGATCTCAGAAATCATCATACCTTGGCAAGGACATCTTCTTGTTCAGTTTTAACTCCAAACCTTGGGATACTTGAATTAGTCAGACTAGAGCTGTGCATCAATTTCTTGACTCCACTGATCTGAGACATTGGTCTTTTCTTTTTCTCCTTTTCCTTCTGAGTTGGAGATGGAATTTCCACTTCATGTTGCTTATCTTGAGAAATTTAGGAAATGTTCTCTATTATTAATTCTATCTGTTTTTATATCATCACATGCATAACTGGAAGGGTTATAATTGATCATTATATATTCCAGGAAATGTTTCCAGCTACAAATTTTCCTTTTAAAGAGTTCAGTATTTACATCTGAATTGGACTTAATTTGATATCTTCAAACACAATGTCCACTACAAAATGATAATATCAAATGTACTCCATGGTTACCTCTTTGATACAATGTCCTAATAAAAAATATTTCAAGACTTAGCATGACAGCAGACTCAGAGAATACACAACAGGTGGTTATTTCCACTGTTCATCAGTTCCATTCCTATTTGAAATTGACTTAGTGAGCTGAAAATTGCTTGTCCTTGCCAACTAAGGGCTCCAGTTTCAATATGCACTTTGAAATGGCAGAAACTTTATACACAAATGTCATAAAAACAGTAGTATATAAAACTAACAACTAACTGAAATGGGTAACCCTGTGAGAGTTGAAACAGCAGGTTTTGGATGACCTAGATTAATTCTGCTACTTTTAATTTCTGTATTATAGTGAGATAAGGGTTAAATCCCCAGGTTTTATGGGGAGCATAAAGAATTGTAAATATCTGATAAGTAAATATGCACATAAGCTAATTGTGTTCTATAGTAAAAGACATAGATGTCTTTGTACTTTCTTCCTCTATTTCAAGGCAGTGATGAACAACTCATCCTTGTACACAGCACATAAGTGTTTAAAAAATATGTTAATTAAATATAACAGCAATTTTGTTTTGAAAATATATCCAGGATACATTCAATTACTGATCTTTATTTACTGCATTTTCTTTCTGTGGATGAGGTACAAGAGTTGTCCCAGGACACCAAACTCAGCCACTATTAGCAAACTTTTATCTAGCATTTGTGTTTTATCCACTCACCAGTTTACTAGGCTTGATGTACGCTAGATTATCAATTCATGAAGGGCAGGAATCATTTCTAATTTATCATTAAACACCAATTTACCCGACAATGGCTGGCATCTAGTAAGAATTTGTTGAATACATGAATAGATCTCTCTATAAAACATATTTTATAGTTTGGTACTGTGAAAACACTGGCAATATATAACCTTAACTTGAGAATTCCTGAAGTCCTAAATAAAACTAAAAAAAAATGTACTTTGTCACATGAAAATCTAAAACTTAGAGGCGTATAGTGTCAAATTTTTAATATGATGAATGAAAACAAATAGAACTTCTAACACTTGTTTGGTTTCCAAAATGAGTTGGCACCCCAATCCTCCTCCAAAAACAAGCAAACAACTGAAGAAAAAGTTTTTAATTGCATGTTGTTATTCTCACCTAAGAATGTGTTTGATATATATTCTGATACTTGATTTCCAGACCGACTCATTTCAGAGAGATGGGTGAGCTCCCGATTAAGCATCCTTTTAAACTGAAAAACAAAAAAGTAAAATGAAGTAATGAAAGAGGAAAGTTTAAGTGAAATGCGTATACATATTGTGAGATACAGGAGGATACGCCCAAAGATTTTTTTAAATTGTCCTGACAATTTAGATCAGTGCTTTCCAGCAGAACTTTCTTCAATGAGTGAAAAACACCATAATCTGCACTGCCAATTACAGCAGCTACTAGCCACAGGTGGCTACTAAGCGCTTGCAATGTGCTTAGTGCAAATAAGAAACCAAATCTTAAATTTTATTTAATTTTAACTATTTTTAATTTAAATAATCACATGTGGCTCATGGCTACCATACTGACCAGAGCAAATTTCGACACTCAAGGACTGAAGGGAAATTCAGGAGAAATAAGGAAAGAAAAGGGAATCAAAAATTAAGATGTATTATTAGTTATTTAGAGAAGAGAGAAACTAATTTATAGCACATAAAAGTGTTGCCATACAATAAAACATGGAATACTTTCGTCAATTAGTTTATCATTAGCAGAAATGGATATATATATATACTGACCAAGGGATTAAAAATTAGTCTTTTACTCCAAAGCAAAAATAGATTTGAGTACTCTTCCAGAACTATGGAGAGGTAAAAATTTTAAACAAATAGTGTATAATGTTTCCTTTTAAAAGTTGTTTTTCAAGTAAGAGTATAACATTTATTGGTTCTCAACATCCACAAAATTTACCAACATAGGTAAATAGGCAACAGGTCAGTTTTTCAATACTCTACTTCACAATTTTTCTAGTGCCTATTTCATGCAAAGAAACACCAGAATTAACCTACCAGCACCACATGGCATTACCAGTATCCAAAAATCTCAAAGATTTTATCCTTCCCCACCCATCAGCTGTTTCTTAATATGTCTTTCCTTTGACTCTGAAAACAGCCCAATGAGGCCTTTTAATAAGTCTTTAATATTTGCCTTAATATCCAGAAACAATACATTTTTTCTATACATAGAGTAACTGCTATTAGACACTTGACAAAAAAAGTCAGCATTTACTCTAATCATCAGATTAAGCTTTAAAATTTGAAATTTCACCATAAACTCTCATTTAAGTGTGAAGGTGAGTGGTGAGTTTATATTTTAGTAGTGTTTGAAATGTAATTCTTACTCAGCATTTAATTAATTTATTTAGAATTATTTTTAAAATCTTGCTTCTCTGCATAATTCATACCAAGATGGCCTAACTCTATGCAGTTTGCTAAATAACTTCCAAAGTCAATCTTATAGACCATCTAGATTAAGTTTTAACCCAGCATTTAATTGTTATCAAACACAAAAACTCAACATTCAATGGACTGCTGGATGAGATAAATGTGTATTAGCATTCCAGTGCAGTCAAAGACAAAGAACTGGCATTACCAGTGCAAATTCTGGCTCTTAAATTACTGGTCTACATAGCTTAGTCTCAAACTCAGGAACACTAAGTTCACTTTCTTTGTTCACATGTTGTTATAACTTTTTTCTAATTATAAAATGTACATGTGCTATGGAAAATTTAGAAAGCTTATCAAAAAGATAAAATCATGTAAATCCCCACTGCTGGCAGACAGCCACAGATAGTTTGTTAAATTTCCTTCTATGCCATTTTCTATACTTGTACGTGAATACATGTTTTTAGAACTGGCATCAAGCAGTTTACAGAACATGGGTTACTGCTTGTGTTCACTCAGCATTGTATCTTTTAGCCTACTGAAAAATATAAACTTTAGGCCTTCTAAGAATATTTGTAGAGACATTTATAATAGTGTTCAAAAATTTTTCTGTCCCTCTTTACGAAGTTAAATTTTCTTGAATGAATTATAGGCCATCTAATAATGTAATGAGCTAATATCGAAGATGTCTTCTATTTAGCCTAGCACACAGTAGATGCTCAATATTATTTCCTTCTCCCACCTCCCTTTCTGGCACTCGGTCCCTAACTTTTGGGCCTTTTATAATAATAGTTGATTTTTATCATTGCAGGTCAGACAGATGAAGGATTTGACTATAGTTATGACCATAAAAATAGTTATCGAAATAGTTAGGTCCTCTTTTTCAAATCCCATAAAGAATTTGGACTAGCATTAGTATGGGAAACCATAGCTATGTTTCAAAAGCACAACTAAAATCTCATGCATACACAGGTTTAAAAAAAAAAAATCTTAGGCAAAGCATATTCCAAAGAAAAGAGTCTGCTAAACATTTTAAACACATATTCAATGAAATATTATTTTGACCTCAAATTGTTCATGTTATGAGCTAAAAGTTGCTCTTAAGAACTATCTGGTCATGACAAAGTCCTTTTTTATAAAAGATGGGAGAAGAGGCAAGGCTTTCACCACTGCTAGAATCTCAGCAGTCGATACAGGAATTGCTGCCCTCCTTGTACTTCTCTCAATAAGAAACAAGGCAAGCATTCTGGGAGTGATTGATAAAGTTAGATGAAACCCAGTTATTACAGGTTCATCTTCTAACTTTTACTCAACCTAATATAAGGATTATGTTGCCATATACCCAAGCAGAAAATGTGAATGCTACTTGCAGATATGCTACATATATTATTGGATTTTTCTAAAAGAATATAAAGAATGAAGTATAAGTTTCCTGGCAGTTTGCTTAAACATTTCACCAAAATAGCCAGTTAGTACAGAGAACAGAAGAAAAAAAGCCAGTGAAAGGAATCTAAATATTGTACAGACTAGATAAGTAATATACTGCATGTTCCATTTTTATCTTTCTGTATCATATACATTATTCCCAGATTATTTTCCAGCTTTTGTTTAAAACACAAAAACATGGATTGAAGAAATCCCCCATCACATGCCTACCTCCCTACCAAGGCTTATAAGGGACTCAAGGAAGTCAGCATTTCATTTCAACATAATTATAAAATATAACATTTGAAGCAATCACCTCTCTTCCCTAGGGAGACAGTTTAAGGAATTTCCTAAAGATAATTTTCAAAGAGTACATTAAGTTATAAAATAAGGGTATTTTCTAAAAGGAATTAACACTGTTTTTTCTTTTTTGCTATCCATATAAAACTTTCAGTCCAGTGAAGCTAAATTAAAAACCACAAAAATTACCATAAGTGCTTTCTTAACTGGTAGTTGATCTTACAAATTGGTTTTGGAGTGCATAGCTAGATGTACTAAAAAAATGTGCTAGATCATTCAGCAAACATTTAAAAATGTAAGTGATATTCCTTTCATCTAAAAATAATTATATTTACTAAGATAACTATCTAAAATTACCAAAGGGGGAAGGACTGATTTAAAGCTAATATAGTGTATTCTTCTGGGAATCCCATCACATTTCTCTATTAATAGAGAAGGGACAAAATGTAAAACTGCTTTTTGAAAAGAACTGACTGCAAAATGCAGAACCATTTAATTAAGCATTTAGTTTATTTTTTTAAAGTGACCTCTGAATATTTTCCATTGATGAATTTCTAATTGTTTTTGGCCTAAAGAGTCGAAAACAATACACAGATTTAGGGTTGCAACTAAGAAAAGAGGGGAGGATTTCTAAGTGAATGCTTTTGAATCCTTTGTTCTCATTATACATCAGAATGTCTGTGTATAGCAGTTAAGGCATAAAGGAAAGTGAAAATGCAGTCGAATCTGAATACTGTATTTTGCTTTTCAGAACTGCAATTCTCCAATTTACATTCTGCAATTAAGACTGTTCAGGAAGCAAACTAAAATAATAAAATTAAAATGTTCTTAAATGTAATCTCCTATACTTCTACATCATACCAATGTGCTACTGGGTATATTATATATCCTCCCAATATATATTTAAGGAGGTGGTATGGGTCCAAAAATAAAAAAAAAATTGCTTATTTTTTTCCTGACAATATTCTGCTAAAAAATCATTTGAACCTGCTGTACTGTGATGCATTACAAGTTTGGTATATCAGTATTCAAAGTTATTTAAACAAGTACTCCATTGACAGCATGAAAATAAGTCCTTCAAAATACTTAAGACAAAATATATCTGTATTTGCCGTTTTTAAAGGTACAGTATTAAACATAAACAAAGCTGTCCAGGAAAAGTCTTCCTCAAAGAAAAAAGTACTAAAATTCTATATTTAGATTCTTGGCAGTATTGTTCATAAACATAATACAAATGGGAAGCCTTTCAAAAATACATCAATTGTGAGCTGGCTAAAAGCTAAGAGCTGAATTCTGGGGGATAGTGAGGACTTCGTACATTACTCTCTACACTTTTCTGTATTTATGAAGATTTTTAGCCAAAAAATGGCTAACAAAATTAAGTGATGAAAGTCTATATATTTAAAAAACATTCTAAAAAATCTGAATCATCTACAGATGTAAAGGGTGGTAAAGAATCATGACTACTTGGACAACTGATACTGAAAGATGTTTTCTAATTTTTTTAAGAATTCAAGTAAATCTCAAAGGGGAAATTGTCCTTCAAGAAGAGAGAAACAAAGCAAATGACAAATACTCCAATCTGAAAATCCCCAGAGTAACAAAAAAAATCAGTCTTTTAAAATGTGTTGTGATTGGCTCAAATATCCAAGGATAAATTTCAATCTGTGAAGTGATGCTTCATTTAGGACTGAATAAGGGTTTTCTACCTCCTGCTTCTATTGTGGAGACAGGACCACAATGCTAATGTTATCACAGGGCATGCAAAAAGCCTGCTAAGCATGGATAATATTTGATTAAATTGTTTATTAATTCATTTCTTGAGCTCCATAAAACTAACAGTGTAATAAAAACTTTATTTGGTTTTGCAAGTATAATAATCAAGTTTTTATTCTGATAAAATATCACTTAAATCATAAGTAATGTCAATATTTAATGTCATCTAGAGCTTTATAGCTAAAGGTACAAAAAATCTATTCCTCATCAGATTCAAGTAGTACAGATTTTTAGAAACAGCCACAAATTAATTTTATAAACCTTATGTGTAACATACCAACTGAAATCCATAAATCAGTATAAGTAATTTCACCCAGTA